TATTATTATTATTATTATTATTACTACTATTATTATTACTATTACTATTATTATTATTATTATTATTATTATTATTATTTCTGTAATGTTGAAAAAAAAAATTCAGTTATCCCCATACTGATAGATCCCAATTTTGTAACGGTTATATATCTTGAATAACAAGAGATTTTTGTTTTTATTTTGATATTATATAGATACGTCCAAATTGAATTCTCACCTAATTAAAAATGACTAATATTATATCTATTTTCTATTATTTTTATACAACAATAAAAAAAATTATTTTGAATATTACAAAGATACATAAAATATTATTAAAATTAAATACCGTGTGACATACAACTCTTCCTTGCTGCTGCAAATTGGTCCTGCAATATATTTGCAAATAATTATTCAATTTAATTTTCTGAAAAGAAAAATGGAAGACAAATATAATAATACGAAAAAATAAAAATTTCGAAAAATTCAAGTTAAATCCCTTCTTCCCTTTTCATCTTCCTTGTCAGTCCCCAGCATAAAATTTGTTCCTCTGCACTCCCTAATTTTAATTTCTTTTTCTAAATCACTCCCCATATATATAGTAATGATATTATTTTTCATTTATTTTGTCTCAAACATAAAAAACCTCTCTCTCTCTTCGTTTTCGTTTTTGCTCTCTCTCTTCGTTCTCCTTGCAACGCCGTCTCTCTCTCTCTCTCTCTCTCTCTCTCAAAATTGCATCGTCAATCGTCTCTCCCTTTCTGAAAATTCCATCGTCGATTATCTCTTTCTCTCTGAAAATTACAAAATGTAAGAAGAAATGAAAAAAAAGATAAGAAAAAACACCGGGACTCCCCAGATCCCCAATTCTTAAAAAATCTAATCTCAAATTCGTGAGTGATGTTCATCCATCTCCTCATCTTCTGCTCCATTTTTCGATTCAAATCACTGCTCCATCTCTCATCTTCTTCCTCGTCCCTTCACTCATCATCAATCACGGCGGCTAATTTTTCGTCCTCCTCCCAGAGCTCGTCCGATTTTACCCCCGCGCATCCATTTACGGTGGCCGGAGGATCATCTGCGCATCGATGCCGCGGGTTCGATCTGTTGGTAAAAGCGATTCACCAGGTGGATGCCGGCTCGGCCGTCGGCGTGCCGTACATACAGCGTCGGGTCACCATCCGACGGAGGAGGGGGCTACAGCAGGATCTGGAGTTTGGCATCCTGGCCTTTGTTGTAGCAAATTATTTTATGTTTTTACCGAGTACCGAATCGAAGGATTCGTTCCCCGGGTCGATCTCTCGAGGAAGACGGTTCGGAATTTAGCGTTAGTCTTGATCACACACGAAAAGAAAATAAGTCCTAAACACTCTAATCACGGTTGATTTGGGGAATCAACTAAAACAAGCTAGAACTAGAAAAACAATTTAAAGAAATAACAATTAAATTTCTAGAGAAAAAGAAGAAGTTCTAGGGGTCGGGAAATCTCATCAAGTATTAAACTATGTTGAACGCTTATTTGTTCGGTTACGAGATTAAACAAGCCTACACGTCTAGAGGGCTATGCTCAATAACTCTTCTAACAAGAGCACAAACATAAACGATAAATTCATTCAAACAAGCAACACATAGACAATACTTTTACGAACATGTCTACTCTATACGAGCCTAAATCGACCGACGTCTCCCCTCTCGGTTCTAAACGTCGATTAACTAGGTTAGAATAGTGATCAATCAACTAACCATATAATTCACACAACTCGTATAGATTGAACAAAACACATTCCTCATAATTCAAAACAAGAATCAAAATCCCTAACCCTAGGTGAATGGATTACCTCATGCTTAGATTCAATTTCATGTTAACCGGAATTAAGAACATAAAACCAATCAACAATAATAAAATAGAATTGAAAAACTTACAATCGGATTAAGAGTTGCAAGATTTCAATCCAAATAACTTTGTGTCCAACAATCCAAACATGAGAGAAAAAAAAGAAAAGTGGAGAAATTTATCCTAACAATATTGAGTTTTTTGAGAGAAAAATTGAAAGGAACGATATTGGGGATTGTTCCTTAGGTCTGGGGGTTCGTTTTCATATATAGAGCTCGAAAAACGGAGCTAAAACGAGTAAAAACGGAGAAAAATAAAAACAGGGTCGAACAGGTCGCGACTCGCGAGTTGACTCGCGAGTCGCGAGTCGGACGGGTCGTGGGGTCGCGCAGCTGGTCGGAGGCTCTGTTTTAGTCGCGAGTCGCGACTTTGCTCTCGCGAGTCGCGACGTAGGCTCGCGAGTCGCGACTTTTTTCTCGCGACTCGCGACTTTGGACTGCACTGCGCCATTTTACGTTTCGGGCTCGTTTGGGCTCATCCGAACTCGGAATTGAGTTCTGTTTTTTGCTACGTGTCACTAACAAACCCATCTATCCAATTGTGCTCTCAAAACCAGCTTTTCTTGAAGAGAAAATTCGCTCGAAGCTCCTGACCTACACACCAAAAACGACAAAACACAAAAGAAAACCGGAAAAACAAATGAAAAACACCTAAAGACTCAAGATGAAGGAAAACACATAATAAAACATGAAACGGACTAAAAACTAAAGAAAGGACCTAAAATGGGGGAAAAAGAAAGATAAATTAAATACGAAAAACGCAACAAAAATAGGACAAACAGCCTTCCTTGCTTGTTTCACCTTCGCAGACTCTGTATGGTAAGCTTGAACAAATAAATCTTGATTTTGTACTTAATTCTGATTAGAATATTAGTTTACGTTTTACATTAATAAAACCTCCCTCTCTTGTGCACTGATCACTTTGTGCAATCTTAGCCCAATTTTGTTGGTAGTTTTACACTCATGACTCATGAGTGACATTATGGAGCTGTGTCATTAGATAAAGGATAAAATCTTGAAAAAGAAGTCATGGAATGAGTTTTCTAATCTGTAAATGTGGTGGTATTGGTTGTTTAATTATTTTGTGTGTATGTATGTGGTGGTATTGGTAGAACTTTTTGACATGTCTGCGCAAGGTCCCTTTTGACTTAAAGTTCTTGGCTATTTGTTTCGATATTTTTTTATGTTCATATACTCTGGTGATTGTGAAATGCGTTGAACACGTTGCGCTATGAAAACTTGTGCAGGTCAAAAGATATTTTATGCATAGTTCTCGAGGTGTTTTGAATTGGGGATGTTCGTTATCATTTTCTATCTGCTTGGAATTCGCCTTGAACAAAATCTTATGTTCACACTGAAGTGGTGCATGCTATGAGCCGATTTGGCTTATTATGTAGTTTTATTGATGATTTATCCTCATTTATAGGGGGTCTTTATAGGGAGTAGTTCTGTTTAGTGGGTGCAATTGTATTACATGGAAACACACATGCACCTCTGTTGGTGGGGTCTTCAATATTAACATTGTGTATTGGAAATTTGTATTGCAATCATGCCCTTGAAAACAGTTAAGTATGATCCTTGATAAGAATAGCAGTGTATCATTTTCTCTTATTGTTACAGTTGCATAGATCAACACCATGAAATGCAATATCAATGTTTTCACCGTTCATGCTAAGCATGAATGTTGTTTCTTTATTTTTGTTGTGGTTGCTTATCGTGGCAGATGGCATCCACTGTGACATATTCTATAGATTCAATTTGTTTATTATGTCTCACGAGCTGCTTTGAAAAGAAAATGGGTGCTTAAGAGCCACCCGGAACATGTTGTATTCAACCACTCAGTTTTAGTAGTCACACAATTTTTTCTTTCTTTGCATGCTGTGATAATATTGGTGGATGATTGGATCTTATCAATGTGTTGAATTTTGGACTTTTTCCTTTACTAGTGATAAATAAAGGGGCATATGTTCTATTGGGAATCTAATTCTGATCAAAGTGATGAATTTTTGCAGTTTTTCAGATTTTTTTGCACAAAACCAAAACTGAGCCGTGTTTTTGGTAACTGAAACTCGTTTATCGACTACTAGTCTGTTCGGTTTCGGTTTCGATCTTGTACTTTAGTGTTACCGAAAATATCGACTACTACACTTCATCTTATTGAATGACACACTTCATTTCATTGAATGATGAGAAAAAATCACGATTCTAAAACAGTACCTGTTTTAGCAAAAATAGTACTGCATCATCTTCTACGTGGTACCTGTTTTTTATCGATTGGTACCTACTTTTGTGAAGGAAAATGGGTTATTTCAATTTTTGGTCAACATTTACAAAAAGTAGTACCAGAAATAGAGTGAGATAGTACCAGTTTTATATTATTGTAGTATTTGATATTGGGTCTTTAGTACCACTTGTAATGAACACATAACAAGATCGAATTTCGGTCTCAAATGATGTTTATATGATCCATAATCACTCTCACATTCATTTCTATGAGATTTAAGATGTTTTTAATTGAGTTTAATCACAAATTATTCATGAACTCGACACACTAATCAGAAAACATTATTAATACACTTTTTTTCAACCAAATCACGCGTGAACGGTTCATTTAGTATATTAATTATTAATTCTACCTATATTAATCAATATTTTTTAACCAACTCCGACGAACATAAAAAAAACGAATCTCGTAAAATGGTACAAGTTTTTCATCGAATAATACCGTTCCTTCTTCTATATAGTGCCGGTTATTGATGAATTAGTACCTACTTTGTAGAAAGAATAAAAAATGGATTACTCCAAATTTGGTCAACATTTCCAATATTAGTACCAGACATAGAGTAAGATAATACCGCAATTATGGTGTTATAGTGCCAGATATCGGGTCTTCAGTACCAACTCCTACGAACGTAAAAAAAAATAAAAAATACCGATTTTTGTAAAATAGTACCTACTTTGATGCAAATAGTACCACTTTTTTTTTTCTGCGAAGTACTAGTTATTGATCAATTAGTACCAACTTTTGGTCAAAGAAAAATAGATTATTCAATTGTGGTCAACATTTGCAATAACTGGTACCAGACCTGGAGTTAGATAATACCAACTTTTGGTGTTTTAGTACCAGATATCGGGTCTTTAGTGCCAACTCCGAAGAACATAATAAAACACCAAATTTCGGTCTCCAATGATGATTATATGATCAATAATCATTCTCACATTATTTCCTATGACATTTATAACGTGTTTAATTAAGTTTAATCGCAAATTGGTCACAAACTCAACACACTAATGAGAAATCACTACAAAGACACTCATTTCATTGAATGACACACTTCATCTCATAGAATCATCATACATGACTACTCTAAATTCTACCTATATGTTTTAACTTCCACTATTTTTCATCCAAATCACGCGTGAACGATCCACGTGTCATGGTAGACATGAAAGATTAGAGAAATTACAATTCTTAAAATAATACCTGTTTTAGCCAATATAGTACCACATCTTCTTCTACGTGGTACCTATTTTTGATCGATTAGTACCAGCTTTTGGTCAATGAAAATGGATTATGCAATTGTGGTAAACATTTGCAATAATTGGTACCAGACGTAGAGTAAGATAGTACAATCTTTCGGTGTTTTAGTACCAGATATTGGCAGGTTAGTACCACTTCTAATGAACAAATAAAAACACCGAATTTCGGTCTCAAATGATGTTTATATAACCAATAATCACTCTCACATTATTTTCTATGAGATTTATAACGTGTTTAATTAAGTTTTATCGGAAATTGGTCACAAACTCAACACACTAATGAGAAATCACTACAAATACACTTCATTCATTGAATGACACACTTCATCTCATAGAATCATCATACATGATTATTCCAAATTCTACCTATATGTTTTGACTTCCACTATTTTTCATCCAAATTAGGCGTGAACGATTCACGTGTCATGGTAGACATGAAGGATTAGAGATATCAAGATTCTTAAAATAGTACCTGTTATAGCCAATATAGTACCGCATAATCTTCTACTTGGTACCTGTTTTTTATCAATTAGTACCAACTTTAGGTCAACGAAAATGGATTATTCAATTGTAGTCAACATTTGCAATAATTGGTACCAGACCTAGAATAGAATAGTACCAGCTTTCGGTGTTTTAGTACCAGATATCGGGTCTTTAGTACCACTTGTAACGAACACATAAAAACACTGAATTTCGGTCTCAAATGATGTTTATATCACCAATAATCACTCTCAAATTAGTTTGTAGAGATTTAAAATGTTTTAAATTGAGTTCAATCGCAAATTGGTTATGAACTCGACACACTAATAAGAAAACACTACTAATTCGCTTCATTTAATTGAATGACACACTTCAACTCATAGAATCATTATACATGACTACTCCAAATGCTACCTATATGTTTTAACTTCCACTAATTTTCATCCAAATCACGCATGAACGATCCACGTGTCATGATAGACATGAAGGATTAGAGAAATCACGATTCTTAAAATAGTACCTGTTTTAGCCAAAATAGTACCGCATCTTCTTCTACATGGTACCTGTTTTTGATCGATTAGTACCTACTTTTGTGAACGAAAATGAATTATTTCAATTTTGGTCAACATTTACAAAAAGTAGTACCATACATAGAGTTAGATAGTACCATTTTTGTATTGTTGTAGTACCTGGTATTGGGACTTCAGTACCACTTGTAATGACACATAAAAACACTAAATTTCGGTCTCAAATAATGTTTAAATAGACATATTTTATATAATTTTGCACAATTTAAATGGTAGTTTAGTACCCAATATCGCGTCTTCAGTACCAATTCCAATGAACATAAAAGAAGGTCGAATTTCGGTCTTAAATGATGTTTATATTACTCAAAATCATTTATACATTATTTTCTATGAGTATTTGAATGTGTTTAATTAAGTTCATTCGACAAGTGGTCATGAACTCAATAGATCTTTAATTTTGAAATTTAGAAATATTTTGTTTTTATTTTTAGGTAATTTTCATTTTATGGAAACAAATTTGTCTTTTAATTTCAATATAAACAAAAATCATCCCTTAATATATCCACAACTCCATATTTATTGCAATTAAATCACTTAAGCGACACATTCCATATATGAAACTGATAAACATGATATATCACGCATTAAATTGGTTGATATCCTATCATAATATTTATTTATTTTCTTTTAAAAAAAATAAATGATGTGTTTAATTTTCAATAAATAAATATTTAAAATTGTAGTCCTTCTCTACGCACGGGGTTTCACAATAAATAATATAATCTTGCCTTGACGGTCAATTATATTGAAATTATATTCTTTTTAGTGTTTTAAAATTTTTATAACTTAAGTCGTCGCGTTTTGGCTCTTATACTACGCAGCGTAAATAGAAATTCGTGTTGTGTAAGCTATTAGAGTATAAAATTTTGTTAGAAATACCAAATATTTGCATATAATAAAACTGGGTTGTTAATATTAATTTTTTTTTAAATAATATTATGACACTAAATTTTAGAATAAGATAATAGTTGAGTATTATGATTAATAAATTGAGTGCGGTTTTATTTTGGAATGAAATGTCCAAATTTAAATGATACGAGTTTCATATGGTATAGATAGAAGTGTATTTAATTTTGAAAATAAAATAATGGGATGAATTTTATTTGGTATGGGTATGAAAGTCAAATTTTAGGTCGATTTATTATAAAATCAAGGTAATATAATTCTCAATTTTAGCATATCCCTATAACAACTTGTCATAAGATATTATTGATAATTTTATAAATCACCCCTATATCTAATTTCTGAATGTCACGAGCTTAAGCGGCAGACTCATATGCTTCAGAAGTTTATTTGACATAATTATATGTTTGTATTGACACATGTACATGTTCCGTTTTAAGCTTGAGATTTACCATAAACTATTTTAGGCTTTTTTTCTCAAGTTACCATATACTACTCTTACTCTTTCTTATTTAATTCATATAATAATTGTTATGATAAATATGTATTCTTTTTATTTTTAAATCTTTATAATTTTTTATTTTTATTTTATTTTTTGTATGTTATATCTCAAAATAATCATATTTTAATGATCTTCGATTTGACATCTATGTTGCATATATACAATAAAAAATAATTACATCTCTCGTTATAAATAAAACTATATTTATTAAAAAAATAATTTAAAAAATATGAATAGAACATAAATTATTTTATAACGAATATAATAAAAATATAATTCCATAATACACCATAAAATAATCATTTTAATGCGTTTTCTCATATATTTTAAATAAATTAAAAAAATTAAGTGCAAAAATACGGACCCCATTTTGAATTAATTATTATTTTGTTAGCTATTCATTATTTTTATATTCATTATACATAATTTTACAATATAAATTATTTTAGTTTTTCTATTGTACAGATATTAATATATTTACGTACCCGTGTAGTACACGGATATCGTACTAGTTGATATATATTCTTCTTGAAAATTAGATAGATCTTTGAATAAATATGTTTTAATAAATTTAAAATTTATAATTAATTTTAGAGAATTAGTTGATAAATTTGAACGACAAAAATATGATTTATAGATTTCGTATAATATATATTTATAGGAAACAAAGATTAGTAATTTTTTTTTATTTTGATAGTTTATCCAAAAATAAATCTATATTAATTAATAAAAAATTAAGAAATTTATAGATTTAGTATAATATATATTTATAGGAAATAAAGATTAGTAAAATATATTTTTTTTTATTTTGTTAGTTTATACATAAATCTATATTAATTAATAAAAAATTAAGAAAAAATAGTAGTAGAAGTGATAAATAGTAGAAGATGAGAAGAACAAAATGATAAAAAATGTGTGGAAAAGAAAAAAACGAAAAATAATGAAAAATTAGGAAAGTTAGTAGTGGAGAGAGAGAGAGAGAGAAAAGAAATAATAAAATAATGTGTATTGTTAGGTTGTAGTGGGATGATGTCATTAGTCAATTTAGTTTTGATTTATTCTAATAAAGGGGAGTTAAGTGGAAGAATGATTTGAGGGGTAGGGAGTGTAGTGAATTTTTTTTTATCTAAAGACTGACATGGAAGTTTGAAAAAGGATTGGGGATTTATAAAGAAGTGTCCCTAAAAATTTAACCTTCAAATAAGCATGCAATAATCTCCTACAATGTGTGACATCTCTATCCATTTTCCCAATGTTAGCCCATGTATATATTCTGAATTATCTTTACTAATTAAAAATATTTTGCATCAATTAGTTCACTTCATCAGCTCACATCCATTAATCCGCTGATTTAAATTTCTTAAATATATCCTATTTTACACACACACACACACACCCACACACACACACATATATATATATATATATATATATATATAAGGTCGTGCTCCGGTGAGAATGGTGCTCAGCGAAAGAAATAAGAATAAATCGTAGCCATTAGATCATATGATCTAATGGCTCAAAAAAATGCTAATATTTATACTCATTAAGGGTAATGTAGTAATTACAACATACACAAACAATTAATATCCTGTGGACCCTACTAGAAATCAACAACACATCCCACCCAATCCTCTCTCTCTCTCTCCTCTCTCTCTCTATCTCTCTCTCATAGGCCCTGCGATTGCAAAATCTGAATCTCACCGGCACCTCTTGTTGGGGTAGAACACCAAAACGCAGCGGACAAAAATACCCCTCCAACAAATATGGCAAGCACTACTCCAAACGAAAATAAGCCAACACAAATAAATAATAGACGGAAAATAAAAAGGACACAAAAATTGATAACGGAGTTCGGCGAAAATAGCCTACGTCTCCGGGCACCGCCAACCGCAACGCCAAATTTACTAAACTCACCAACAAAATACAACTAGGGTTAAATAACCCACAAATTAGGATTTTCTAAATTAAGGATTTCCTACCAAGGGAGGAGAGAATAGAATAAGGTGCAATTGTAACCCAAATGCAATTTATACTAATAAGATCCTACACATCTTTGGTATACATTCGATGTGGGACAAACAATTAATCAAAAACTAACAATTCTCCACCTTGACTAATTTTGCTCCCACTTCGACTCTTCAATCCAAATCAACTGTCGGCGGTGCCTCCAAATGCGCCTCACGGCGCCAACTCAAATATGCAGAATGTTAGTCAAGTCCAAACAATGTTCAAACTTGACTGCTGTCACTACCTTGGTCATCATATCTGCAGGATTCTCCGTCGTCTTGATCTTCTTCAATACAACGGTTATCTTCTAGAATCTCCCGCACAAAGTGATAGCGAACATCAATATGTTTCGTTCTTGCATGAAATACTTGATTTTTTGCTAAGTGAATAGCTCTCTGACTGTCACAATGCACTAAGACGTGCTTTTGGCCAACTCCCAAGTCTTCAAGCAAACTTTGAAGCCAAATAGCCTCCTTCACAGCTTCAGTAACCGCAATATACTCTGCCGCTGTTGTAGACAAAGCAACCGTTGACTGTAAGGTAGACTTTCAACTGACTGGAGCTTTCGCAAAAGTGAACAAATATCCAGTCGTTGATCTTCGCTTATCCAAATCGCCCGCGTAGTCAGAATCACAATATCCAACCACACATTAACCAAATTCATCCTGCTCATAAACTAATCCAACGTCTACAGTTATGAATGTACCGTAGAATCCATTTCACAGCTTGCCAATGACCTTTACCAGGGTCATGCATATATCTGCTAACAACACCAACTGCTTGTGAAATGTTGGGCTTTGTACACACCATCGCATACATCAAACTACCAACTGCATTTGCATATGGGACTCTATCCATGTACTCTCGTTCTTCATCACAATTTGGTGGTAATTGGGCACTTAACTTAATATGAGGGGCAAGTGGTGTACTTACAGGCTTCGTCTCATCTTTTATGCCGAAACGTTGTAGTACCTTATTCAGATATTTCTTCAGAGTCAAACAAAGCTTGCCTCTCCTTCTGTCCCTACTTATCTCCATCCCGAGAATTTTCTTAGCTTACCCTAAGTCTTTCATCTCAAACTCTTGGTTCAACTGAGCCTTCAACTGATCAATCTCCACTTGGCTCTTTGATGCAACCAACATGTCATCCACATACAAGAGTAAGTAAATGAAAGATCCATCTTGCAACTTGCGTAGATACACACAATGATCATTTTGCTTCGTGTGTACTTCTGCTCAATCATAAACTTATCAAACCGTTTGTACCACTGTCTCGGAGATTGCTTCAGTCCGTACAACGATTTTTTTCAACTTACAGACCCAATTCTCTTTTCCAAAAATTTTGAATCCTTCTGGTTGAGTCATGTAGATTTCTTCATCTAAATCTCCGTGTAAGAACGCCGTCTTCACGTCAAGTTGAGCTAGCTCCAAATTCAACTGTGCTGCTAAGGCCAACAAAATTCTAATGGAAGAGTACTTAACAACTGGAGAAAAGACTTCATTATAATCAACTCCTTCCTTCTGAGCGTAGCCTTTAGCCACCAATCTTGCCTTGTAGCGCATATCATTCTTCTGAGGAAATCCATCTTTCTTTGCAAATACCCACTTGCATCCTATCGCCCTCTTGCCTTTTGGTAGTTGCGTCACCTTCCAAGTCTGATTCTTCTGGAGAGACAACATTTCTTCCTCCATAGTCCTTTTCCACTTCTCATTTTCTAAACTCCGAATTGCATCTTGAAAAGTGAAAGGTATGTCATCATCAACAATTGGAAGTGCATAAGCCACCATATCCGCCAATCGAGCAGGTTATTGAATCTCTCGTCTGGACTTTCTCAATGCAATGGGTAACTCTAATGATTCTTGAGTCTGAACTTCATCATCCGACGAATCCTTTGATATTGGTTCATCGATCATAGCTGGTCGCCTCGTCATCGCATCCATCTCCACCTGATTCGGTGTCAACTCCACCTGTTGGGTTTGCGTCGTCTTTATCATACTTTGTTCATCAAATGTAACATCCCTGCTGAACACAGTTTTGTTCGTCTCAAGACACAAAAGACAATATCCCTTCACGCCAATTGTGATTCCCATGAACAAAGCCTTTCTCGCTCTTGGATCTAACTTTGAATCCTTCACATGATAGTATGTAGGACACCCAAAGACATGTAAAGATCCATAGTCAGCCACATGTTTCCCCGACCATACCTCCAACGGTGTTTTACCATCTTTTGCAGATGACGGCAATCGATTTATGAGGTGTTGCGCGTATGTTACAGCCTCAGCCCAGTACTCCTTGCCCAAACCAGCATTGGACAATATACATCGAATTTTCTCCACCAATGTTCGATTCATGCGCTCCGCCACCCGATTTTGTTGTGGTGTCCGTCTGACGGTGAAGTGTCTAACAATGCCATTTTTACGGCAAACTTCTTGAAAGGGATCACTTGTATGTTCTCCACCATTGTCCGTTCGTAGGACCTTGATCTTCCTTCCAGTCTGATTTTCAATTTGGGTCTTCCATGTAAAGAAGACACCAAGCACTTCCTCCTTCGTCTTCATAGTGTACACCCAAACGCGTCTGGAAAAGTCATCGATGAAAGTGACAAAATAGTGTCTTCCGCCTAATGATGGGGTCTTAGAAGGTCCCCAAACATCCGAATGAACATAATCCAAGACACCTTCGGTATTATGGATAGCCGTTCCAAACTTCACTCTCTTCTGCTTTCCCCGAACACAATGCTCACAAAAGTCTAATTTGCACACTTTGACATCTTTCAACAATCCTTGTTTTGCCAATGTCTGCAAGGATTTTTCACCAGCATGTCCCAACCGCATATGCCACAACTTGACTGCTTCAGACTCCTTGTTGGTGGAATCTGCTACTGTTTCTGTCCCAACAACTGTATCGCCTTCATAGTAATACAAATTATTCCTCGTGATGCCTTTCATCACCACGAGCAAGCTGGATGTAGCCTTCATAACTCCATCTCATAAAGTCACTACCAAGCCTTTGGATTCCAAGGCTCCTAATAGATGAGATTTTTCTTCAAACTCGGCACGTACCGAACATCCGTCAAAACTCTGGTGGAACCATCGCGATTCTTCAAACGGATTGAACCTATCCCGGTTGTCCTACAAGCATTATCATTACCCATGTAGACAACCCCTCCATTGATCTCTTGAAAATTGAAGAACCACTCCCTTATGGGAGACATATGGTAGGTGCATCCTGAATCCAAAATCCATTCGTCTGGATGAGATGATGAAGGTGAAACCATAAGTGAAAATTCTGAGTCTTCACTTCCACCCTCAGCAACATATGCATCTTGAGGAGATTTGCCTTTCTCCATCAACTTAGGACAGTCCTTCTTCCAGTGTCCCTTCTCATGGCAGAAAGCACACTCGTCTTTTTCAAGCTTGGCCTTGGAACGTGATCTTCCTCGTCCATTCTTCTTTTGGCTCTTCAACCGACCTCTTGCAACTAACGCTTCATCTTCTACTGCTGCATTCTTCGTTCTTCTTCCTCAACTCGTAGCTATACAGAGCAGAACTGACCACCGCAAGAGTTACATCGTCCTTCCCATGGAGCAGAGTAGTCTCCAAGTGCTCGAAGTCATCCGGAAGTGATGATAACAACATTAGAGCCAAATCTTCATCGCTGAATGTGACGTCCAAATTCAACAAATCTGCAACCAACTGATTGAATGCAGTGACGTGGTCATTCATCGATGTGCCATGCCGGTACTCAAATCGGAACAATCGCTTCTTCATGAGGAGCTTATTCTGGCCGCTTTTCTTCAGAAATTTATCCTCCAAAGCCTTCCACAAAGTATGAGAAGAATTCTCATTCTTGAATGCGTACTTCTGCTCCCTCGACAAACACGAACGAATTGTTCCACATGCTAAGCGGTTGATATTCTTCCAGTCCTTCTCTTCAATGTCGGTTGGCTTCTCTTCTTCAATTGCAATGTCGACGCCTTGCTGAAAAAGACAATCCAGTACCTTGCCTTGCCACATGCCGAAATGCCCGGTCCCATTGAAAATCTCTACCGGGAGTCTGACGTTCGGCATCACCGTCCTTGCCGGAATGAATGCAGAGGATGATGCGCCCTTGACCTCCTTGGACATCTCGAACTCGAATGCAGTGCTCGCCTCTTCGAATTAGTCTAGGGCGAACCTTCGGCTCTGATACCACTTGTTGGGGTAGAACACCAAAACGCAGCGGACAAAAATACCCCTCCAACAAATATGGCAAGCACTACTCCAAACGAAAATAAGCTAACACAAATAAATAAAAGACGGAAAATAAAAAGGACACAAAAATTGATAACG